GCGATCGGTAAAAATTGTTTAGTCATGACTATTCCTAACTGAATTTTTGCATGGGGGCCCCCAAAAACTAACCGGCGGCTATTATTATTATATCGGGCTGTGAACTTGCGGTGAACTTGCTGAAAGAGAATCTGATTAGTTATACTCACCGGAGTCGCCTTACGGCGACTCACGGGGGCGGTCTTTGGTTCTGTTTTGTCGGCCTTGGATGTTTGTCCCTTTCTCGGAACCTGGAGTCATCCATGTTCAACGCATCGTGTAGATCGCATAGCGATGGATTGTTGTGCGATCTGATTCTATCGAACACGCTTTCTGTGTGTTCTTTCATATACACGTCCACATATTGCGTGTCCAGGTCTAGGTCTCTGTATATATATATATATATATATATATATATATATATATATATATATATCTGTTTGGGATGTAGTACGGCGCGTTTACAGCGGCCCTTACGCTTACGATTGTATCTGCTTCCTGTATGTCTGAGCGCACTGGCCCCAGGCAGTGCAAGCATACAGTATTATGGACATGAGGACGGTTTTGATCATTAGCAACTTCACTTACAACCCCATGCAGCTTCTGCGTCCTATGATCGGTGCTAGTCGTTGTCTGGCGTGTCTAGCCATTCCAATTCTCTGCCGTACGTGAGACTGAAATGTCAATTTCCTGTCTAGGATGACCCACAAATATGTCGCTTTGTTGGTCCACGGAATCTCTTGTTCGTTGAAGGTGACGTTGCTCCGGTTGTACCTTCCTGCGGATGAACAGTATCGCCTGACTCTTGTCAGGGTTTATACATACACCACAGCAGCTTTTGAAGCTTTATAAAGATCAGATCAGAGACCTTCTTTGAAGTATTGTTCTCATGTATAGAGCTCCGCCCCGGAACATACTCTGGAACTGATGGATTCCATCCGTGAAAGAGCCATCCGCCTGATTGGAGACGCGAACATCATTTGCAACCTTGATAGTCTAGAACAGGGGTCTCCAAACTACGGCCCGCGGGCCAAATCCGGCCCGCCAATGTCATCAATCCAGCCCGCGACAGCCAATGATTTACTATCATCAATTTGGCCCGCGACAGCCAATGATTACCTAATTGTTGTTACTATTGCTGTGATAAGTTGGAGAAGAAATCAGAGAATGATAATTACTCGGTTTCATTTACTTGCAAGGTAAATCTTAACGACAGAAATGATGACAAAGAAAACTTAACTTGAGTATCTAAGTTTAAGCATATTAATAACTAACAAATAATTGAAAAGAATCACAGTAAAACAAAAACACTAATGAGATTTATGTAATTGTGATTTTCCACCGACAATACTTGTGTATTGTAGTCTTTGTAGTTGTGGATCAATTTTACTTGTACCAATTATCAAAAGAGATTAAAGATCTTCATCGGTTAATTGAGATCTGTAAACATTATTTGTTTACTTCATCTTGGAAAACGTTTTCTCACACAAGTAAGTAGTACCTAAAACAGAAAACAACCCACGAGCAAATTTATGCAAATTATCAAATTTTTCCAGTGGAAGACTTATAAAATTCCAACAAAGATGAATTTTGATATTTGTCCTCAAGCATATCACTGCACCGTAAATCAATAATTTCCATTTGGACTTCTCTGCTCGAAGTTCAAAAAAGAGCTTAAGTACTTTTCCGCAACTAAGCCAGCGTACGGCAGTGTGATATGGTAAATCATTTTCTCTCCAATCTGTTGAATAAACTCGCGGAATTGTCGGTGATCGCCCCAGTGGATCTGATGAAGTTAACAACTGATATGACTGGTTTTAGAACTTCAGACTTTTTCAAACATTTTCCGCACAAGGACTGTTGATGAATGATACAATGTAAGACTAATGGTTTTGAACCATCATTATTTTCTACAGCCTTTGACACAAGTGCAACCACTCCTTTATTTTCACCATACATATTTTTTGCCTCCATCAGTTGTTATAGATTTCAAATTTCTCCATCAAAGGTTCTTTTTATTAATGGCATTTTCAACTCCCTCAAAAAAAATCTGCCCCAGTTGTCGTGCCGTGAATACTATTAATATGAAAAAGTTCTTCATACACTTCATAGCTTTTATCTACTCCGCGAATAAAAATCACTATCTGAGCAGTATCTGACACATCCGTTGACTCATCCAATGCTAGAGAAAACCACTCATGATGTCCATTTTTGTCAAACAGTTGAGATGATATATTTTCTGCGATGTCTTGCACCCTCCGAGCCACGGTGTTTGCTGACAAACTGACACTTTTAAATAAATTTACCTTTTCGGGGCATATTTCTTCGGCTACTGCAATCAAACATTCTTTTATCATTTCTCCATCGGTGAATGGTTTGCCACGTTTTCCGATTTCAAGAGCCACACGGAAGCTGGCGCGAGTTGCAGACTCTTGTTCAGTATTCGCTTTGGTGAACAAAGATTGCTGCGATTCGAGTCCGCGTTTCAAAGCTTTAAATTTTTCCTTCCGCAAACTTCCTGTATACTTGGAGTAACTTTGAAGATGTTTCGATTCATAGTGTCGTTTAATGTTATAGTCTTTGAGAACAGCTATGGTTTCATTACAAATTAAACATAGCGCCTTATTACTGGACTCAATCACAAAATACTGAAAGTTCCATTTCTCTTGGAACGTTCTGCATTCACTGTCGATTTTTTGCTTCTTTTCCATACTAACAAATCACACATAAAAACAATAAGTCAAATCAAATTACTTTTATTGACGGGTGTTACTTTATTTCACAATAGACAGTTTCGCTTCCTTCGCCTTTCCTATGCAGACTAACACGCAGTTGCGCCGCTAGCCTTTTTATATGCAATTATCACTGCCATCTCGAGGTGATCAGAATACACTAGCTAGAACCAGAAATTTCTCGAACCAACGCGGTAATTCCAAATATAGGAATAAATATAGTTACGAAGCTAACTATTTTTATCTGAGCACTGAAGTATACAGAAAACAATTTTCTCTATTCAGTTTGTACTCCAAACACTCGTTATGTTACATTGAATTTCATGAAAGAAAAATACTTTCGAAACAAATACTTTTATATGAACACTAAATTGTATAAAAACACTTCTGCTTATTCAGTTTATACTCCACACATTCGTTATGGAATTGAATCAAATATTATTCATAAGATTACCACACATACGGTATTTGGAAGAGGTGAAATTTCAGTAACATTGATATTATTATCCTCAATGGCGGACATCGATGTTTCGGAATGATGCCTTGTCTTATTGCCTCTTAAGTGTTCAATATTTTCCAAAGTATTTTTCCTTTCGTGTAATGCAATGTTCATATGAAAATAGTTTTTGGAAGGATTTTTTCTTGCAGTTCGTATCTGAAAGTTACTTTTTTGCAGGATCTACACAAGTGTGTAGAGGATTTATTTCAAAATCTAGTTCTTTCTTATTTTCTTTAGAAAACCCCCACATTTTGTTGTGTAAAAATGGGAAAGTAAAAAGCCAGAACTGCTCTTATTCTGATATGAGATGTATTTATTGAATAGTTAGATGTAATTCACTAGTATAGACTTACTTACCTATCTATACTTACCACCTCAATAATCACTCCAGGATAAAAATAGGCAACCCAACGTTTGTGTATTATTATATTGGCTTCTTACTCCAAGCACTTAGACTAAATTTCATCATGAACAGTTGAAAACAGAAAGTAGGTTACATTGTGGCAAAATTGGTAATTTTTGGGTAGTAATGAACAACATTGAAAATGGACTCTGACTATTGTGAAGATATTGGAGATATGTTTATATTGATATTTCAACGTCAGAACTTTTAACAAACTATTAGAGTATGATCATTTTCATGTTGTGTGTCTTTCAAGTTGATGCAACTTCATTTTTGAAAACTTGAATACGGATCTGTAGCAATTTTTTCAATAGGCAAGGTTTATATTTACGTAATATCGTAAAACTGGACTTATTCGACACCTTCGGAAATTTCGGTAAATTGACCATCTTCCATTGGATTATTTTTTTTATTACTTTCTCGATAATCGAATGAATAGAAGCAATATATTTCGTTATCCTGCCTCAGATGATTCTTATCGATTCTTTTATAACTTGAATCGAAAAAGCACCGTATATCTTAAATGTATTGTTACCCCATTTTTTATTTTCAATGAGGTTTTTCACGTCGTACAAGCTGTGAAACTTTGAGAAAAAATCAAAAAGTCTTGTCCACATTATGGTTACCCTGTAAGTCAATTAATCAATTCAAAACACACTTCACACACCTTGAGCTAATTGAAACATATGAAGAAATATGAATTGGTGATTGAGACAAATGAACTGATTTTCAGTTTTTTCTTGTAAATTAATTCATCTTTCCCAATTTAAAAGTTATATAAAAATTATATGGCCTCATTCTGTGAACCCATTGAAAAGTTGTATGACAGAGTATGAACAGACTTTCAGTATATCTGCAGAAGATTGAATTTCGAAGTTTTTGGTTTTCCCTTTTCATCTCCAAAACGGAAAAAGCTGAAATCGTATAATTCAATGATACCACTGAAATTTTAATTGAATAAAATACAAAAAACAATGAAAAACTCAACCATTAACACTAGATGAAAATTAAAAAATTATTAACATGGAAATAACTGAAAATGAAAAAATTGGAAGATTCCAAGCCAAGTTACTTCCTGTCTTCGGGTCATCACCCGAAGATGATTGTGGATGCTAACAATCGAAACATCTTGAAGTAACTTGGTTTTTAATCTTTTAATTTTTAATTTTTTTGAATTTTCATTCGTTATTAATAATTTTTCAATTTTCATCTCGTGTTGATAGTTCAATTTCTGATTATTGCTTGCTTAATATAATTGTTATTTTTCAGCTAATCTTTATAATAGAATCTTTCAGGGATTTCAAATCAATCTATATAACATTAGACAATAGAAGTCCGAACTAATGAAATGCATTCAAAATTGTATTTATGGAAAAAAACAAAAATTATTCCATATTTTTATTGAAAGTAAATTGAAGTGTATCAACAATATTTTTACTGATCATTACGCACAGTAGCTATTTCGAAAGTGCCAAATATCAATATTTCCTGAATAGTTTGAAAATAACTTTATACAACAAAATTTTACCGATAATATACAAAGCCACACATATAAAAGAAGCTGTAATCACTTGCACCATGAATTTCTTTTCCTGTTTCTTCTTTCCCTCAGTAACAGTCGACAATGGATCTTTGAGAAGATAAACACGTACCCCTCTGACATAATTAACGAAGTAAGCCTGCCAGTTCAGAGTCAAAATATCGAAATTGAATAATTCCCTGTCTTTGAACGACATTCTCTTCAAAAGCTTCTGAGTGTTGTCGTTTGAAAAGTACCATTGGCGTAAGAGGTACGGTCTGAAATTTTCTTGATCTTTGTGAAGTTTTTTGTAAATATCCATGATTCTGAAAATCAGAGAAAAGAATTGATGTTGAGGAATTGCTCAATAATCTAAGGGTTCAATTAATTTTCTTTGGAAGTTAAGTGAAACGTGTTGTTGAATGTTAGAGGTTTGAACTTCAGTAATGAAAAATATCAGCAAGCTAGCTGTTGCCTTCGACATCGTTTGTGTGGACTTTAGTTTTTGGGTTTTCCTAGAATTTATAGGGATAAAAACTATAAATGAATGTACTTAACCAAAGTTAAAAAAAAAAACTTTGGAGAATATTTTTGAAATATTTATCGTGCTTCTTTGAATTGACATAACTTCATTTACGAATAAAGTGAAATGTTGATGTTGACTGAAGTTTACCACAATACATTGTTTCAGGTTCAATGACATCAATAGATTCTCCGTAATAATAGTTTTTCTCTAATATCTTCCATATACAGACAGCGATCAGTTACACTTTTATTTTATGTACCTGACCTTGAATTTTAGAATAGTTTCTTTACAAATACCTTTCGAACCTGAACCTCCGATATTTGGTATTACAAATTGTTGAAAAATAGTAAAATTAATAGAATGCATAAATAATCTTTTCAAATCGAAGTAGTCAAAATCGGACAACACCATATTCAATACCGATTAAAATGGATTCGCAATAAAATTTCAAGAGTTTATGGCCGTTCAAAGTAATACGCTATGTGTTCAAAAAATAAGGTGAATTCAATGTTTTTATGAATTTTGTTAATATTCCTATGAAAAGTATCTAATTGCCTCTTAGTACCTGTAAAACATACCAAAACGTCATCCACATATCTATGACAATACAAGAAATTCTTAATCAAAGGATGTTTAAAGATTGACTTGTCTAGATCAATAATGAAAATTTCTGCAAGTAAAGGGCTTAATGGATTTCCTACAATTGGAGAGAAATAAATATTGAAAATAATTTTGTTTCAGTCATAACGACAGAAGATCACTTATTTCTCGTTTTATGACTGGGTTCACTAAAGTAATAGTATCATCAGGAGATATGCTGAGAAATAGATTGTGCACATCAAAGGATAATAATTTTTCGTTGTCTGGTAGAGGTATGTTCTTTATTGTATTGATTAAGTCATATGAATTCCGTAGACTGAATTTTGGTTGGAAGTTACAATGGTTCAAGATGATATTGATTAGCCTTTCTGATAATTTCACTGATGGTGAAGTTACAAAGAAAACCACTGGTCTAATTGGATAACTCTGTTTGAGCAGTTTTATGAGTGAATATAATTCAGGCATTTGGGAGTTCATCAATATCAATTTGAACGTTTCCCTTTCAGTAAAAAGTATGTTTGAAATTTTCAAAAAATCTTTAATTTGTCTTTAGAAAGAATTAGTTGGATCGCGTTTCAGTATTTTAAAATTTCCTGAATTCAAGAAATCAGGGGTTTTGTTGACATATTCGATTCGGTCAATAGCAACTAGTGTTGCCTTTATCTGCTCTAGTCAACATCATTTTCGTTAATTTTACTGCGTATTGATTTCTCAAGTTTCAATTCATTCGTAAAACTACCTTCTTTCAAAGACTTTAATTTCTGATATGTGACGCCTGGTGTTTGTTATCAATGCTATTCAATGCCTCTCCTACTGCCACTTTTGATTCGATCCCCAAAATTTCAAAGTTGTTGGTGCTATTTTCATTTCCAATGTTATATTTGAAACCTTTTTCTATCAACACATTTTCAGTGTCTGTGAAATGTACCTTCGATAAATTTATGAAGCTGTCATAAAATTTATGATTCCTGAATTTGTAGAGGTAGTTTCTTTTCTATTAGTGAATTTAGTTTTTTCTTTTGAATACAATACTCTTTATGAATGATTCGATCAACTTGTTCTCTTTCCTTAAAATCTAGTATATGAATATTATGTAAGAAACAACTTGAAGTATTCAAATCACTTACAAAGCTAAACATGTTGTGATATATTTTTCAAATAAAGTTTGTGGAGATCAAATCGTGAAGTGTAGCTTTTAAAATTTCTATATTAGTGATTCGATTATTCTCCCTAAAGATTTTCTCAACTTTCTCAACATTTTTATCGGTTGTTGATGTGCTGGGGGTCAAGGGCGAGCTCGTCATTCACATCTTCTTGACCGTACGTGAAAAGCTTGTACCACTTGTAAAAAAATTTCTAACACGCAAAACACACTAACTTTTTTGCCTCCCACCAACAAACTAAACATGCTAAACAGTTCAAAATGTGAACATATGTTTGATACGATTGTATCAACATATAAAAATGCTAATCGAGTGTACGTAGCCCGCCAATTTTGAACAGTTCATGAATTCCAATCCCAGTTTTCGGTCAATTTATTTGAATGAAGTGAAGTGCCATATTCATATGTGAAACATCAGAATAAAATCTTCTGTAACAATCATTATTTTGGTTCTCAAAATTACAGTCGGCTAGGTCGAAACATGTTTGCGATCAGTTTCTAAAAAATTACAAGCGATTCATTTAATTGTCCACTAATATTTCCGATATATTCTCACTATTGACTCCAAACATACTCTTCCTATTATTTTTCGCATCATCAATTGTAATAGTTGTTTCAAAACCATACTGGGTTTTACATATGGGTTTTTATGTGCACGCTGAATATCATTGAGATATCATCTTCCAACGTTCGATTCTTAATAGGGTCAGAGAGTATCTACGCAGTTCGTACCAATAGTTCCACAGTTGATATCGACATAACTTTCACAACCTACATCTGAAAAGTAATCCCTGCTTTTGTATCCGAATAATTCGTGAAATTCTGCAGCAGAATTTGAGAAAAACTCTTTCATTGATTTCGTAATTTTTTGGTAGGAACAACTAGAAGCGGTGCATTTCAGATGAATTTGTTGAAATATAGCAATCGCCTAACGAAATAATGTACTAAGACACTCTCGAATTTCTTTTTGTGACACGGCATCCTTTGTTTATGATTGCTACATCCCCGCTCACAACAGATTCTAATCTCTCTGTATCGTCAGCCAGTTTCAACTGTTCGGAATGATCAGTTCATCCGTTCTTCATTTTTTCTTAATTGGTTCATCATTTGAAGATCTATGAGTAACTCACACTTATTTGTTTTATAAGAACAAGATATTGTTATATCCCAGTGAACGGACCGCCACTGACAAGTTCAACAATTCATAGTGCGTGATGTTATAGAGCACGGTGCAACACGGAAATTTCTAGAAATTCTAAGATAAAGAAAGTTATATATCCATCCATATTTGCTACTGTATAAGTAACATCGGCGAATTGCAGTTTTGCAAAAGCGAAGTGAACGGTACAGTGTAATATTTGAGTACGATTGAAGTATAATATTTATTTAGTGTGATCATTGTGATTCAAAGTTGTCAAATTTAAAAAAAAAAACTACTAATTCATTAATCCATTCGTTTATTAATAAGTACATAGTATTAAGTAAAATAAATTTGCAATAGCGGTGACAGCGATGATATCTGTTAAAAAAAGATAGAAAATGTGGCTAAAATGACTGAAGCAACGAAAAATGTAATGGAAGGACGAACCGAAAGAATAAGAACATAATAAAACAAAAAAAAATATTCGAGATGTTGCAACAAATATAATAACATTGTATTCAGAGAAACAATTAAATGACCTATCTACAACAATAAGTGGCGATCAACGACTTTATCAGAAATAATTAACCAAAAAAGTGAAACAAGTGAAAGGTGACATGAAAGATATTTGGGTAGCGTACACAATTTTGGTGGCGGAGTTTAGGAAGATGAAGACGAGTCAGCAAACTAAAAGACCTATAGGATTACCAATTAAACCTGAACTTTCGTCTACCACTGCGATATCAGTGAATATGCATTGACTGCGAGGAAGAAGGTTATATCTCGAAGTTTCAACAATGACTGACATGTCGTTTCTTTTATCATCAGTTCATTCGTGAGACAATTTGAGGACTACTTCTAAAGGCATCAATTATGGGAACGTTTCTAGTTGAGTAAGTGACCAAAAATACTATACTCACATAACTCACATCACAGTTAATGAAATTCATAATTTCACAGTAACTTTTCAATTATTTTCAATCACATCGGTAATTTTCTACTTCAGAATATGTCCTCAAACCTATCCAATGAACTGGCGATTTGTTTCGAAACAGAGAAAACAGAAACAGAAATAAAAACATGAACTCGACAAGTGGAAATGAATGTATCTCACCAGAAACTTGTGATGTGAAAAAACGTATATTTTTTTGAAAGTAGTTCAATTACTAACAACATAAGAAAAGCTTTGTGTTACACTAATTTGAAATCATCTTCTGGTAGTAGTTGTACCTGAGTGGCACAGGTCCAGGGTTCAATCTCAGGCTTAGATAACTTTTTTATTTTTCATAAGTCAATTTTTAAATTATCTGAAATTAAATGTAATGAAGAAATAGAAATAATTTTGTATTCTTTTGATGAATTCAGTGTAATGTCTGTCGTTTGGAATAGTTTTTTATAAATGAATCTCATTTGAATATATTCTTGTTATTTATTATAGAAAAAGTATATATTTTACTCATGGAAACTGGCCATCGCTCACTGGAATGAGTCACTACAACCCTCATTCTCACGAGTAAAGGCTACATTACTCGCTCTTTGAGTAATATACTATTGTTAAGTTTTTCCCCCGTGTGTTCACCTACACTGAATAATCAAACTCAACTTTATTTCACTTGAAATACAACAAACATTAAAAATTCCAACTATTATTTTGATGTCTATCGCCTTACTGGATCACTTCGCGTACCGCACTGTAACGTCCACTTGACTGTGTACTTGACTGTCCCGATATCCTCGTGGTCACCGTATAGAAGTGAAAACAAGCCGAGAATACCTACCACAAGGTATTCTCGGACACAAGTAAGTTCACTCTCCGCCATATTTGGGTCAAGATTCCCCACCTCGAATTTTATGTTCAGCGAACCTACTGCGCAACCGACTGAATCTGATGGATTTACCAAGCGAGCAAAGTTGAGGCATGGAATATTATTACAGAGTGAGTCGTTTTAAGTGGTGGTTTTGTATTTGTGAAAAATCGAGTCTAGTTTCAAAATGTGTCGAGCTGTGCGTTGCTGTAATTTGCAGGGTGATGTCAGCATTAACTTTTTCCGATTTCCAATTGACGAAAGAATGTAAAATTGTGTATTTTTCTGTATTCATTATGTGAGATTGAAGGAATAAACATATAACGAAAATCATAAAATAAATTGTTATACACCAAATATATGCAGATTTTTTTTATGAAATGAATCTGCTGAAATCAAACTTTACGAATAGTATATGCCTCAAAAGTAATGATATAAAATGACGAAACAATCAGACTTCCACTGGAAATCCACAAATGAAAATAGTTGTCAACAGGATTTTTTTATTTGGCTAGTATGTATCTGTAGGAAAAATATTACTTCCACTGAAATCTCTGCAAAACCAAAGTATCAAATGTATATTCAAATAACCTTTTTTGGAGCCTACTGTTGCGTATTTTTTTACCAATTCATCCACATCAATACTGGATATAAAAACTCAACAAACTGAACATTCTGAAAAACCTTTAGAATAGATTAGCGTAACTTTTTGACCCAAATTGTATAACCTTACTTTACAGAAAGGTACCTTCTGCCACATGCCAGCAAAAAATAAAATCACGACCCCAAACATCAAAGAGGCCGACGGGAGTGAATTAACTCATGTTTACTTCTATAGTTAGGAATCACACGTTAAAAGGTAAGACCTCGTTATTCCTCAGCTCACACAAGTTTCTCAACTTCTGAGAGTTGTCGTTCGTATGGGGGCAGCAGCTGATTAACGGAAAAACAGATTTTTAACAGAACAGATATGGTGTCGATTGGCGCGCTATTAGCCACATCATGCCTGGTTTGTGGCTACCAGCGGCGGCCGGCGTTATTTTCTTTCGGGCATGATTTACAACACAATACAATGTTAGGTTTGATATTTTTCTCTCGTTGAATGTATACTACAGGAAAAAAATTCTACTTCTTTTATTTGTCGCTCGGGCAGCTGCCTTGAGGGGAAATGTTCCGACCTCATGATTTTTCATTGTCAGGGACCACGCAGAAGGGAGGATCCGAACTGCTGATGACTTCACTGGCTCCAGCCAAAATTATCGTTAGATGCTCCAAACTCAAAAGCCACGGCTTCCCAGTTGTCAGTGAATGTGTAACGTGTCACGTACGACTTAGAATGCAATGTTCTATGAAGTAGCATAATTTTTCGGGTTTTCAGATCGAGTTTGTACAGTTCATCCCGAGTACATCTAAATAGTAGAGTAGAATCTGAAGGGCAAGTATAAGGCAACACCAGTGTCTCGTCAATATCGTTGGAGTACGGAAGCATTTTTAGGACTGCGTTATGTCGGTGGATATAGACTGAGACTGCATATCCTGGACATGCCAACAGTGAGTACATTGGGGTCTTAGACATCTCATAGTAGGCCCTGCACCTGGTATTAGGGACATTTAAACCCATAACTCGACTACGATATACCAAGGTGTTGAAGACAGAATCCTATCAGAGCATGTTCAATCCCTCAGTTTCCGATTTGAGTTCACTAACTTTTTTATGAATATTGCAGTATTACGATAGGTGGACTTTCAAAAAATGTCTTAATTTGAAAATTTTATAATTAGGATTAATTATAATTTTTTAATTAGGTGTCACTGTTTTGTGAAGTGTTGAGTGAAAAATCTCAGAATAAAGTATTCTGTTCTGTCTGTTTTAAAATCTGTTTTTCCGTTAATCAGCTGCCGCCCCCATACGAACGACAACTCTCAAATACATTGGTTTTATCAAATATCGACCGATTTCATCAAATAGGAATTGCTGAATGATACTTACACTGGTTTTTTTCCAACAAACTTCAGACAAATATCACATAAGAAAGCCATACAAGTGTGAAGCAGAAAAGTTAATAGCATGTAGTTTTGGTAACAAGCAGTTTGAAATGACATTGGCAACTGACACATTTTCACACTCGGAACCTCTTTGCACTCTGTTTCGGTGACCCCCATCCATTCATCTGTAATGAATACATATGATAATTAGTAAGTGTATTTATTATATGCGAAGCAGTAAATCTCAGAAAAAAATTGAGGGAATTATATGGTGTGGTAGCCCTCTGTCCCTATCCATGAAGAGGTTCTAGTTTTTATCTGAAGATGTGAAGATATTCTGAAGATATGAAGACTGGAACGTTTCCGCCCTAGGAATTTCTAGACTGGTCTTCGATATTCGAGAGTATGAAGGCATATCTGGAACATTCTGAAGTTTTGAGAAATATTCGACATAAGTATAATCATATACCCCAACCATATAATATAATGATGATGATAATAATAATAATAATGATAATAACAATAATAGAGGTTCCTGACACAAGGTGCAGGGCCTTCCGCGAGGCGCCCGAGACCCTAATGCAGTTGCTATCAGCATGTCCAGCATATGCGGTCTCGGCCTATATCCATCGTCATACTTCGTCCCTAAGAGTGCTATATTACCATCTACGGCACTCTTACGGTATTGACGAGACACCGGTATTGTTCTACGCTCCGGGGGATATTGAATCCGTTGTGGGGAACGAGAAGTGCCGAATTTATTGAAACTATTCGTTCCCCATCCTCAGTCTCATACAAGCTAACAAGCTTGATGTAGTCCTTCTTGACCACTAGAGCAAAACGATATTTGTCGTGGAGTTTTCAGCTCCTGGTGAGACGAATATCGTCAGGAAAGAGGAGGAAAAAGGGATAAAATGTCGAGATTTTCTCTTCGAACTCCACAGACTCTATCCAGATCACTCTGTCAAGATGGTTGTTCTGGTTATTATAGTCCTTGGTGGAATGATGTCCTCTCTACTCTCGAATCTTAAAATCATACCGGCTTGCCGCACTAAGGCAGAAATCTTAGCCGCACAGATGCAGAAGGCTGTCATTCTTGGCGCACTGCGCTTGTTCAGGGCACATGATTCTAGGACCCAATAGTCACTTACCCTAGGGTGTGGGGAGTGGTCATTGGTTGATAATGCTGGCGCGCCCTCCCGAATGTATCGGGGCTTCGGGGGGGTAGGGCCTGACCAGCGCACACTACGGTGGAAACAAAATAATAATAATGGCTTTTATTGATGGTTCCATACAATTAAAACCAATTAAATGACAGGAATCAATACAGGCGTATGATAACCATCGCAGAGACTGCTTTTCGATTCAACCGTAAAAAAAAAGAAAAAGAAAGAAAAAAACAGTATGCTATTAAGAACAGTGCAACAGTACATACAGCGAAATTGAAATACAAATATTTATATTTTGTTGAGCTTGGAGAAAGGTTGATTGATTTCGACATAATTCATTAGTTGGATCCATTTATTGTAAGAGAATATTTTTTTATCTTTCGTTTGAAGCTTCTTAATGGCAGAGGTTTATATTCAATGGCTATTCGATTATATGAGTAGGCAATATGGTAAGTGAAAGATCCGCGAAATAGGGAAGTTTTATGCTGTTATGTTTTATGTGTTAAATGTGTCCTGAATCTCAAGTTAAGATGGTGTACGTCCGTTTTGAAGGATATTTTTTCGAAAAGATGGGAGGGTTATTTATTTTAAGGAATTTTTAAAAAATTGTTGCTGAATGAAATATTCATCTGGATTCCATATTCAACCAACTCACATCCCCGAACAGATGGGAAATGTGTTCTCGTTTCCTCGTACCCGTGATGAGCCTAATGCATGCATTCTGGAGCTTTCGGATTTTGAAACTGTCACTCTTCAAAATTCACGGACCATACACCACGTCTGCGTAGTTGGCATGTGAAAGAACTAAGACATCGCAGAGTATAATTTTACTTTTTTTATTCAGAAATGCTCTGTTGAAATATATCATTTTCAAATTTGCATAACCCAATTTCAGAATTTGCGAAATGTGTGTTTTAAAACGAAGACTGTTGTCAAGATATAGGCCCAAGTTTTTTATAACTCCTTTTAAAGAAAGTTCTGTTTCATCTATAACAATATTTATGAGGCCAGAACAACGATTTCTCGCCACAGTTCTACTAAAGAGCATGATATTAGATTTAGATGCATTAACAGATAGGCAATATTTAGTTGACAAAGATAATAACATATCGAGATCGATATTAATTTACCATATGGCCTCAATAATTGAATTCTCGTCGAATTCAATGTACAGCTAAGTATCGTCGGTAAGTAAGAGTCACTCAAATACAGAGATATACCGTATCGGTCACTGAAATTCTAAGAAGAGTCCCGGTACGATCAAGTCGTATGCATTATGTGGTAGCCCTCCTCTTTCCATTCATAAAGTTTCCCGTTTCGAACTGAAGTGCGTGTACTTAAAAATGCAAGGGCTGGAAGTTTGGCCCTCTGAATTCGAAATGATTTCACATTATAGAATATTCCAGAGCATTCTAGAGCATTGCTCCCCGCGCGAAGTCGAATACTTTAGCTACATATCATTAAAGTAATTTCACAATATACATGTCACTAAATCTCAGAAACAATTCCCGGTACGATAAACTGATATGCCGAGCTATTCACGTTATACACCTCAAGGCGTACTTTTGAAAATATGAGAGCTGGAAATTTCACCATTAAGAAGGTTTCTGTTTGTATCTGAGGGGTTGCTTTTGAAGATAAGATTCGCACTCAGAAATTTTCTAAAGCAGTCTATAACATACGGCTTTTCATAACATCCCAGAACATTCTGGAATGTTCTGAGAGATTGTGGGGTACATAATGCAAGATTCGTCGTGAATTCGAGAGTCAGTAGAGTACAGTAATAGAATAGAAACAAACAGTGAAATGTGGTAAATCAAGGTGATACAGTGACTGAATAATTCAAAATAGGATGTGAAAAGAATTCAAAATGTACTTAATCCAGCTTTCCTTTATGATTTAAAGTATATCTTTTCATTCCAACTACCACACAATGACACAATCTCGTATCAACTCCTTGAGCGAAGCCAGGTGTCCCAGCTAGTATGTAATAAATTATTTCAGAAAGAACACAACTATTTGTTACCACATGATTTCTATAACGTGGTGACTATGACATAAAATATTTACAGAGATATACCATTTTGACCATAATGAAACCAGAAAGTACTCGTCAAGGATTAAATGATTTCACCTCTAAAAAATTCCAATCGCAGGTATGCCGAATTGACTTTTCAGTCCTGAATTGAGACTAGCAAGTAGGTACTCGTCTGGGATTTGAGTAAATAATTTCACAATGTCTAGATAGTAGCCAATTCTGTATATCTCTAAAGTTGAACCAATAAAATGATTTCTGTTGCCATATTGTTTTTGTCTCTCTTCGGTACATATTTTTGCTATCGATGTACTTATTTAATTTCCCGTGACTTGTCAGCTCAACTCTTTCGAGTTTCAATGTGTACTTGATGACAAATATACCCACATAACGAAGTGAGAAACGTCATTCAACAAATTTACAAATATTCTTGGAAAAACGTTTTTTGTGAAGGAGTCAATATTTCTTGGTGTTTTTGAGCCTTACGCAATAAATGAAGGTAAATTAAAAAATCAGCTGAAGTATAATGAAAGCAAACTGAAAAGTTCACTCAGAAGTTGCCGGAAAACTGAATTCTCAGAAAACATTCTATAGACATTCTATTACTTGACGCCTTTCAGAGGAACTATACCTGTTTTAATTTGGCGTGCTTTTTATAAGGGGACAAGCTGACTTGACGAAAGTTGTTCCGACCTATACATCAAAAAAATACTAATCACCTTGCGGTAAGAAATAAACTTCTCGAACTATTCTCATGCCTACCAAATATAGTAGCACGAAAAATTTCGTGAAAATCGTTCGAGTCTCATCGGAGGAGTGCAACCACAAACACTATGACACGAGATTTTCATAAATGAGAGGTGAGGGTGATGTGTTTCACCTGTATTTGAGCATATCATATGCACCTCTTTGGAATACGTTCATCATTCTAACTACTACCACGGAGTAATTTCCGGGCTGCAGGAACATCTTACAATATGGTACATCCTACTGAACCAACTGCAGATAGAGCTTATGACTAGTTGGAATTGATTTTGTTTGTTCGGAGTATTCAGAAATGACTCTTTCTGAAATGATGCTAGTGTTCCGAAACCCGTCTATCGGGGGTCGTATATATACGTATAGGTATAACTCTACTCTACACCTCTCGAAGCGAAGCAGTAACTCGTCTTGATAATGCCATCTGAGATGATGGCGAAACGTCGACTATCGAATAGTACACAACGGATGAACACCCGGAAAAACAACACATCATATATATATATATATA